GGCGTGCTTGCACACACAACAGGGGTATGCAGCAAGGCTGCCATCCGGAGGCGTTCTAAATGCCTTTCAGGCAACAAAGGAAATCAAAGCGCATGGCTTGGTGCAGGGAAATGTTGCAATGTTGAAGGCAATTGTGTAAGGTCATGGTAATTTACTTGTGGCGCTGCGCACCCAGCTGCATATGGCACTCGGGGGATGTGGAGTTTGTAGTGCATTTCCCGCGACGGGAACACAATTTCTGCGCTAAGATGTCTGATCGCGGTCGCGCAAGAGCGTCGTTAAGCCGGGATGTTGGTTCAGCAACACTCGCTGACTTCATCACATTTTACTCATTTTGACACACTTTAACTTCAAGTGCACATGCTGGGACATCGTCGACGAATCGTCGACGACGATAAACGTGAGAGTGAAAAGACAATTACAAAGTGATTATATGATAAATGGCAATTTATGGGCGAAAATGGTTACAGTGACCATGGTATGCTATGGTGAAATGTATGTTGGGACAATGGAGATGAGACATGGACATTCTTGCGGTGACTGTTGCTTGGCTGGCGCGTTCGCCATGTAATGGATGTGGTTATTACCATGCTTCCCGTGCCTAGGAGGGACCGTGTGCGAACGGAGAGCGAGTAATAATCTCATTTTGGAATTGCGGCAGTGTTTCAATTAAACCATGGATGTTTAATGTCCATACCTCATATTGTCCATATTAAGTAATGTAATTAATGTATATGAACTTTGTACACGGCGCCCAAGCGTATGTAGCACGGGAGCAACAAGTCGATAAGGGAGTACTATGGCGGGATTTTATGTGATCTCCCTAGGCCAGTTTCTCGGTGCGTGCTACACGTTGGCACTGATCTTCACACTCTGACCACCTAATGATGTTCATTGATAGTACCTCATCAAACATGAGCCCGTCTGTTGATTTCTTGAGTTATTGCGTAAAAGTTGGCCGCTGTGAACACAAGAAATCGTCTCACGATACATCCTTTTTACACACATTCATTCGCCTACATACGCCCACGCACGTCTGCATGGTGCCATGTGGTTTTCTACCAAGTCATAGCACATCTGTTTGCACCATCGATTTGTACACAAAACAAGGCGTTGTCTTAGGGAAGGGACTAATTTGATTCTCGTACGCTTGGCGTCGAACAGAAGCTAATTGGACGAGAGGTCAAGGGCGTGGACACTGATAGATTAGGTAATTTCACTAATCTAAGTGAGGCGAGAAAAGGCCAAAATGCTCTGTAGCATGTGCAAAAATGCCCCTGCCCCTATCATGATGGATGCCTAAAACTGAACACAAGATATACATGGTGTCTTCGGGGGTCATTGTACCTGAGCGCAAGCTCGTTGGTCACAGCGGCGAACAAGGCATACGATTCACTGATGGTCCAGCAGGGCACATAGTTGGCTGTGAGCGAAAGACGGTTACATGTGACCGGCAACGGCCTTAGTTGATCGGCGCCTTGTAACCGCCAGGCTCGGTGGGTCCTAACTTGACTATGGGCATCTAGAATGACGGGGAGGGTGTACTGGGAAGTAACGATGGCGGACGGTGCTAAGAGCTGACATGGATTCCTGTGGAAAGCTTGTGCTCGGGATAGGCATTTATGATCATGCGCATATAGCAGTGGCAGCCAGACTTGCTTTTTATGTTAGCGTTGACATTTACGTTTTTGCGTTTAGGTTTTTTGCGTAAGAATGTAAAATTTCGCGGTTATTTGAATGTTTTTGTGGCTCCCGGGGACACGTATTTTTACGCATTTTTACGCGCAAAAAGGTAGAAACTGTCTTTGCGCGTAAAAACGTACATAAGATCAGCCTTTATGTCGTAAAAACTAAGCCTGGTGGCAGTGGCCAGTGCTCCTTGTCAACCAAAGCTGAGCCAGTATTTGGATCTCTCAAAGTGGGCATGATCGAGGGTGCTGCAGAGCTGGAAAGAGCGGTGAGAGAAGGAAATCTTGGGCTATGTTTGATGGCAACCAGGGCGCCGGTGGCGCCATATAGCATGCACGCTGCGGTGGACAGAAAAGTTCCGAGACCAATTTTGATTTGGGTGCATTTGGCGGAGCCGTACTGCAACAGCCCTGTCAACCGTCGCTAAACATTTCCTACAACTGTGGGTAAGTACTATGTACTTTTGTTAAATACAATTTGGACAGCAAAGTAAATATTGACGTTAGGATTTTTAATTAAAGCTAAGTGTGCTGCGACGTTGACACAGTGTTTTGCTTTCGAGAAGTTTCATCATCCAACGAGTCTCACAAAAAAACGCATCTCGCATATTGACTATTTTATTGTACACCAACAGCGCTCCGTACAACACCTCTATTGCATCAATGCCATTCTCCGACGCACCATCAGGAAATGCTCGATATCCTGGGTGCACATGTCCAGGATGTGGGTGCCATGCCCCATGATATGGGGGCTGTATCCCAGTATATGGCCGCCCAAATCGTGTTCGACATGCAGGATATGGGAACTTGTCGCCCACGACGCCGGGCGTCGTCAATCAGTGCTTAAAAGCAGTACAGGATGTGGACATGGGTGTACGCCATACGCACATGCATGTATCCTTCAGGTGCCAAACGTCACACATGTGACACGTGCCATTCGCAGATGCGGTTTTAATCACGCTATGAAAAGTAAGAGTCATTCATGCCAGAAGCTGTGCAGTCATTGTACATTGAATTCGTCCTGCCTCAAAATCAGATCCAGCATGAAATCAGTATGCAGAATCCAGAAAGAATGATATTGAACACAGATGTGGTGTCCGTAAAGTATTCGATATCCATAGAACGGGAGAAATATATGCATATCTGTATTCATGTACATGGGGCCCCTCATATCCTGGATATGGTACTTTCCGACATGAATATTACAGGAGCTCAAAAATTGCCAATCTTTTTGCTGTACTAGACTTGTCTCTTCGTGATTCATATTTCCCAAGGCCTGCGCGCGGACGCTGCCAGTATGAAGGCGTACACGGCCTCTCTCAGATTCCAGCGACGCACCGAGAATCCTTGTAAAATTTCCCAGTGTGTACAGTGCCGACACACAGAAACAGTATGCTGTGACCCCGCGACCGTTGAGTTGGTAATATTTCATCTTAGGGCTGCGCCGCTTGAGCTGTACTGTCAGTAACACTGCAGCCCTAAAATGGCGCAATAGAAAACTCTGACGCGCATAAATGGATCGCCGTGGTAGTGGGTACACGGCCAACATCAAGGGCCAAAAATGCTCTTTCCGCAAAAACTCTGCCTTGTTATTCAACATACGAATCCCGTTTTGCCTTTGCGCATTCGGTACTGAAGATGTTCCATTGGTAGCTGGAAAGTTCAATTTGGTGCGTTTCGATTGCGCCATTGTTTTGTCAGATGCAGTTGCAGCGAATGAGAGAACTACAGGTACTCGTTGCTACACATTGACAAACAGGCTTGTTATTTATGGCGTAAACACAGATTGACGTTTTTACCCATAAACATACGTAAAATACGTGTTTGACGGTGCGGAGGACTGACGATTGTATACATGAGACTCTGCCATGTAACCTGGCTGTCCCACAGCCCCGTAGATATTCTTAAATGTTGCCGCAAAGATAACCGCTTCTGTGTGTTCACGCTTCTGCGCGTGAAACGTCAGCGTCAACGTAAATAGCAAGCATGCTGCCAATGCACATGCAGGCTAATATAGGCGCGAAGTACACCACGTCGGTATGGTTGCCTAATGGTACCGTTCACCAACTGGCACGCCACCATTCAGAAGCAGATGCTGGCAAGTGCGGGCGATTTGCTGTCAGGGTGCGTGGAAGCCATTCGTTGCCATGTAGCTCATAATGCCAGTAGCAAAAGCCCAATCTTCCCTTATGGTGCACTGATGCACACAGATTCCGATCCGATTCAGTATCCAGGGTATCCAGGGTATCCAGCATTCTTTTGCTTCGACTGTCATAAATTAAAACGACGCACATTTCCAGCAGCGGCCACAACTGGTTCGTGGCCACAGTGCACCAGCCGCATAGTTTTCAATAGGCCCTCGGTGGCAGAACCAAGTTTTTGCCCCAGCGAGGCGCAAAGTGCGCTGTGGTCTGCGAGTTGCTGTGGACAGTTGTTATATCACTGAATCTAACGCCCCCAATGACTGGGAGCAGAGTGGGGGAGCCAAGAGGGTTAGGCCAACTCACTGGTGTGTGTAAGTTGCTGTACATGTGAAAATGAAGGTTTCGTGGCCCTGGCATTTGGCCCAGCGGACAGCATGCAGGGCAAATGAAGATCTGGCAAGAAGCGCAAGATTCTCAGCTCACCTGGGTGAATGAAAGCGAGTGCGCCTTTCTGTTGGCAGTGAACCATTCTGGAGGGACACAACAGTCTCTACTTGACGCTGGAAGAAATCCGTGCCATCATAGTGACTTGCACACCTTCCCCAATTGCTTGCATATGTGGCGCTCTGCCCGTTTCCAACGAGTTTGCCCATGAAAAGCAACCATTTTGCAATATGAAGAACCCTCTAAGCAGCTCCGCAGCCACAATGCTAATTCCCATATGTCATCGACAGGCACAGGAATCCGATCACTATGTCATGAGCTGTCATTCCCTGTGCATCTCCTGTTCTTTTCTCTATCATTCCAGGTGCGGCAGTGATTCCACATTGACACATGCATTCTCATAGGCCCCTCCTGGCCAGAATATGCATCCAAGCCACGAATAACACTGCACAGCACACCCAACAAACCATACGTTCACATCTAGCATCGAACCTGTCCACAGCGGGGTTTGTTTTGCTGCACACCGTACTGAGCCATCCTCGTGGTTTGCCAGCACAAATCGAACTCACCAGCCTGTGTCCTCTGGTGGACCCAGCAAACAATCAAGTGTCAAGTTTCACCAAGCATCCACTGTCTCAGCGGCAGCTCCCACACCAGCATCTATTTGTTCACGCATTTTTCATCCCTGCCAAGTCAGTGGCGCCGATCACAACCACCCCCCATCTCAATCTGCCTTTTTGTCAGCCTTCCTGCTCTTCATCACCTTACTGGCAGGCGTTCCCTTCAGCCAGTCATCGTCGCCTGTGGCGGTGTTTACCGCCTTCGTCTTTTTGGTGGCTGCAGCCTTCTTGAAGATGCTGAGGTTTGCGGCCCACCTCACGATCCCAAAGACTGTTTAGCAGCAGGCCAGCAGTCTCAGCTTCAGAGCATGGAATAATACAGTTCTTGTCTATCGTCTCATTACTTGCCGTGTTGATGCAGAAACAGTGCTACGTCATACACCAACTGACTATTGACAAGTGATAGGGCAACCACGGTGGCAGCTCAAGTTCCACCACTGGGCTGCTTAAGCAGCACAGTTCTCATCACATTCGAAGGTGTCAGGGGCAGTCCTTTGTTCCCCTCAGACACATTCCATGAAGAAATTACATCCACCCACAGAGAATGACAAAGGATGAAGTGATGCATGACCCACTGCCCCCAATCGTGCTCTGTGCAGGGTCCAATCCGCCCATCAGCAGTGTTGGTGGGATGGTACAGACCTGGCCTGCAATAGACCTGTTTATGCCCATTGGCAAAAGACATGGAACTTATGCACTAGGCCACAGAATTCTGCAAAGGGCACAAACAATGTAGTGCAGTGCAACTAGGTACTCTGTGACTGAATATTTACAGCAAACACATGCCATGTTGCATGAGCCAACGAGACCAACGAGACGAGATGGGCCAAACTGTTGTCCCTGCCCCAGCCAGCTGCTCCTTGACACGTGATACAGTACAGATCATTTCAGGTTCACATTCCAGGACAACTGAACTAGAGGACGGTATGCCCTCTACAACAATAAGAAATGACAGCAAGCACAGGCCAACAAGAGGTTAGCTGGCACCTTGCATAGTGCAGCTTTCCTTGCGGACACCTTGTGGCACTCACCTATCAGCGCAAAGATGCAGATAAGGGTGGCATACATGAACAACACCTCAGTGTCAAACAACTTCTCAGGATCGACGATCTCAATAGTCTCATTGAAGAAAGTGGAGCTGTGCCATTCGTTGCCAGCCACATTGGAGTAGAAAGCTGTTATGGCCACTCTAAACTCCATGGGTGGCAGGGCAGGGTCAGGACGGAACAGGTACTCCATCGTCAGCTCCACGTTTGGCGGCACAGTGACACCCAGAGGCTGCATGCAGAAGAAAGAAAAGTTGCCGAATTGAGCCAATACCTTCTCTTGTAACGTTTGCTAGAAATCGAAAGACACTGCCCATCACCTAAACCAAGGGCATGCACAGCACAATATGAACCAGACTGAAACAGGATTGGAAAAGATCATCAAGCAAAGGTGCTTCGATTAACTCAACATTGCCAGACACCTCCCTTCACATTGACCCAAGGGGATCTGGGGTACAATGCGATCCAGACTGAAGACAACAGAAGAACGGGGAAGTTTGAGCTACAGACAGTGAATTGACCAATTCAACATTGCTTGGGCCCCCCCAAAGCCCTGTTGGCACAAGGGGGACAAGTGTGCCTGCCTTTGTGCTCTGTTTGGGATGCAGTCGCCCATGCACTGGACTGAGATCACCTGTTAGACTAAACACTTCAACAGCACAGGAGACAGCCGAATGGATCGTGCCTTCAATGCCCAAGAACACCCTATGCAGTGCTGCAGACAATGACTGGGATCCCTGCGCCCTGTGCACTGCCAACCCTGGAAACACGTGCCTTCCCGATGTGCAAGAGCCGGCACAGCCACGTGGTCTCTGGCTGCCCTCGTTGCGAATTTGTGGCCGGTCACAGACACATGCTCCAAAGAACGTGCAAGTCCGATCACCCCAATGAAAGTTCGATTCAGCTTGCCCTCCGCGGGGAACCGCAATCGCCCGCGCCCAGGAACCACGCCACGAGCTGTTGCGAGTGCAACGGCCGCCATAGAGCGCTGATGGGCAGGCGACACAAGTCACACCTGCATGCTGAAGTTCTGGTAGTGCACCCGAAAGTCCGCAGCGCTGTTCAACGAACCCATGATTGCGCTCACGTTGACCGCCTCGCCGCCCTCGTTGCGGAAACCCAACAGCACAGGAATCTGCACGCAGCGCACAACACAACGGAAATCAGCTCCAAAGCTCCAAACCTCCTCCGCGGAGCTCCCACACGCCCTAAGTAGGTCCCGCGCTGCGCAGCCTGGGTCCCAATTCCACCCCCAGCAGCAAGGCGTCCCCAAAGAGCCCGCACGGGCAACGGGGCAGATCTTGCTTCCGCTCGTCAGCGGACGCTCGACGCCATCGTACCACATCGCCGGCCGGCAGCAGTTTCTGGGGGTGCTCTGGCAGCACCGACTTCGTGCTGACGAAGCCTTCAGGCGGCATGTCGGTCAAGGGGTGCACGTCGGGCGCACCGGGCTGGCACTGCGCCGGGAGGAACACTGCACAGCAGAACGCGCCAGCCCAATCAGAACCACAGATCCGCGGATCAGGGCATCAGCAGCGCAGGGCATCGCCAGGGAGCGCGCGCGCAGAGCGCACCGGCGCCCTCCGACCCCACCATCGATCCAAAACCCCGAGCCCTTCACGCCTCCCGGAGATCGGGACCCAGGCGTCATCCCCACAGTTTCGAAAGTACTGGGGCCAGATCACGCTGGCGGGCCCCGAGTCTGGCAGTGTCCAAAACGTGGTGGTTTGGATGAATGGAGCCGCGCCATCAACAGCCAAGCCGCCGCTCACCCGAAAGCAGGGTCAGGAAGGACGCGAGTCGCCAACCGACAGCCATTCCGCCCAACCTCCGCTGGGCACGCCTCGTCCGCTGAGCCCGAGCAGGCATGCAGGGCGCCCCTCCCTCGGCCGGCGGCCGAGCGTCGGGGCTGGTGGGCGCCGCAGGGGCCCGCCGCTGCTGACCCGGCGGTGGCCGAGGCGGCGTGGGGACGTTCAAAGGCGCGTCAGCTTGTCTGCGGGCGGGCTCGTCGCCGAATGGGGTGCGGAGGATGCCCTCGTGTCCCCCTGCCAATTATATTGCATTTTAGTGTCTCAACGGCGTGCAACAATATAACACAGGGCCCGTCTGTTGCCTTGTTCACTCGCCTTCGTGACCACGCTCCAAACGCCTATTTTATTTTCCAGGAAGTGCCTTTCTTTTCTTGACCGGGGGATGACCATCGGCATTATTGTCATGTTCCTGCCTTTGGAGATTCCGGCCACAGCGTCTTTGACCAACAATCAGCGGCGAACCGCGTTGAAAGCACGTCCAAACCCTTTGTTGAAGGGTTACACCAGGCCCCTGACTTCAAAAACTCGAGTCAAAGCGTCAGTATACGGACGGCAAGGTCGCACAGGGCGGTGCAGGCCCCAACCATACATAACAACGTTTGGCAGCCTAAACGTTCTCACACTGTTTTGCCGGTGTCAAGTTCGACCACTTGAGAACGGGGACAACAACGCAGTCCAAACTTTAGTCACTATTCACCAGAAAAGAAGAATTGAGTTTGTTCGTGTCGCCAATGTTTATTAAGACGCATCTAGTGCACTGCAGCGGCGCAACGGGCACATGCAATGCTGGTGCCTTTGACGCCAGTTGGTGGAACTATCACAAACAATCATTAAAAAAAATCAAAGAGGAAATCTCAATCTCCTTTCAGTCGGTGAAACGCATTGTCGAAGAGAGTACGGTGAATAGCTAGTAGCGGTCCCTCATGTGGACTCGACATCAGAATCAGGTTGGATTCCTGACATTAACACAATGTATGCTGCGAAAGGTGGACGCGCAAGCCCCGAAGTGGCCAGCGTCCGCACAGCTCGTAAATCCTTACATTATGGCGTGTTAGAAATCTCATCAAATCCATGCAGTGGCACGCGCTCCGTACGGAACGCCGTGTCCGTGCTTTGGGGCTCTCTCGCACAGCGCAGCACCATCAGATGAGTTCATTCGCGCACAGTCACTGCGCCTCGATCGGTTTTCGGTCTGCCCCTGTGGGAGCTGCGCGACCGCGCGTCGTTGTGGCAGGGCCGGGACGATCTCTTCAGCAAAAGTGAAATATTTGTTGGTGCAACGATGTGGGTGGTTTCTCGAACGTGATAACAACGCATCTTTTGCCGGTGAAATCCGCCAACAGCGGTCCAAGAAACCAACCCAGGATCGGTTCAATATAGATGATCATCCATATGTAGCTCGTGACTGCAGAGAGGATTTCAAATATTTTCGAAGCTACTTGATTCGCAGTGATTCACTTAGCTTTGGGTATTTTACAAAGGTGGTTTCTGCAGTGCTTGCTCAGACAGACACTCTCGGGGTTGTGGAGGTCCGTCTGTGGCCGCGGCCACAGCCAGAACTCGCGGCCGCGAATAAGAGCTGGTGCACTTTCGGCATGGAAATTCATGTGAAGCTGTTGAACTCGGGCTCTTTTCCTGGAGGGATGCATGCACCGGTTTCACATACACCCTTTGGCATGAACGAGCAATTCCACGGGTCCCAAGCGCAGCTCGGCACATGTATGCGAATCCCCAACTGGTAGCTCAGTCCGAAGTTCGGCTCGAACTCCGAAGCGCTGCTAGTTCTTATTTTCCTCCCATCAGCGCTCGGATGCCGAATCTGCATAAATGCGTCCCACTCTGTATGGCCCAAGTGCTAATAGGTGTGATCCAGATTCGGATCTTCCATCAGTTCCCTTCTATGAAGCACTGCTTAATGTGCTATAACAAGTTCAAGTCTTTTTCCACTACTGCAAACTAATTGCTCACTGTCTGCATATCTTTTGCTGTTGGCATCAATTCCCATATTTATCATCGCATTGTCGACGAAGCTCCATTTTTGCCGCCCAATATCCATGGGTTTGTCAGATCTTCACCAATTTCTCTGACCCTCATAAGTACTCCTGAGTCCTCACTGGTCTCGTGGCTCAATATCTAGTTGCAAATCGATGTTGCTGCTTTAAATCTGTTGTACTTAGTCACGGCTGCGATGCCCACTGAAGCCACGCAACTGCATGGTCCTCGTTCATCTCGTGTCACATGTTCATACTAATGATGCACTTCCTGCAATTCAGTTCCATTTGATTGCGACAACTGCGCCTTCACACGAATGTAGGCCTTCAAGCGTGTCGCCTGCTTGTCGCAAGGTGTAGTGGTGTTGCGATTGTGCACAATTTGCGGCCCTTGACCTGATGCCGTTTCGCATCCTGCTGACGCTTTGGGGTGACGTTTAATTTGCAGGTCGTCCGTTCAAGTCTTGGAATATGTTGCCGTTCTTGTACAGTCCTGGAAACATGTGGCCCTAGCAGTATCCCATGGCTCTTTTCCTAAGTGGATCCAGTGGCACGCCGCACAGCATTTCTTCGTGAATTGAAGGCGCAATTGCTGATGCCATGTACATGTATTGACTTATGTGCTCTCCACCCTGAACAACAGCGTCCCAATGGTTCAGTCTTTGCCAACACGATTCCGGATATGCTGGAGTGGCTCCTGGGGAGGGAGCCGGACGCATTCAGAATCGGGCCCCCATTTGTTGAGTGGATGGGAGAAGAGAAAGGAGGAAGAAGGAAAGATGGTTGATGTTTTTTGTTGGGCATCAGGTAACTCGATGGCGAGCACCATTGAAGGATGGTCGAGTAAGCGATGATAAACATTTTGAATTTTGTGCGCTTAGCGTCAATGTGTTTATTAATATTAAATTTAAAATCAATTTAATATCAGTGTAAATATTAAAACGTCGGTGACCATTCTGGGCGACTGCTGCAACATGTGTGATGCGGCAACGTGTCGCCCACCGGGTCTGGTCGGCATTGAACAAACGAACCGTCGACTTGGCGTGTTGTTGCCTTGCAGGTTGCCGAATCTGTGTCCACCGCACACAGGTCGGGGCGTGCGGCCCTGCGAGCTTCTGTTTCATTGCCAACAGTTCTGTGTGTTCTTGCGGCAAGGACTTGTGCAAGGAGCAATGGAGTGCTTGGGTGTCCAAGGCCCGGTGACGTGCTTGCGCCCCGCTTTATCTGTTGATTCGCGCACATGATGGCGCCCACTAAAACCACGACGGCCCTGACTTGCTCTTCAATTTGAGGTTTCAATCGACCCAGCGGCGTGACGGTCGAGTGAGCGTTGATCTTCGTGGTGTATATCGTCTCTAGAGGTGCAGTCTCTCGTACTTGTCTCAATACAGACTGGAGCGAGTGCATCACTGTTGTGAAAGTGCACTGAGGCGAAAGATACATTTCTGCCATAGCGGTCTCCTTCAACCCCCTCCCCCCCTGGTGTTCCCCACACGACAATACATTACACTCACACAGTTTGGTGTCCATCACCTCACTATTACAGGACCCAATTGGCGACCCACTTGAACGTGGCCTCGCTTCGCTTAGTACTCAATGCCACCCTGATGGTGACTCAACCCAGAGTCAGCCCCCTTTTTCTCGTACTCAACTCCCTCTCCTTCCCACAGCGAACCAAAACTCACTCTATTAGGGTGGGCCGGGCGGGTGCGAAACAAGATAAAGGGGGGCGCCAAGGGTTGCGCCTAATATAGTCGCTCCCACTTGCAGCCAAACTCCCCGCCAAACCCAAGGGCCAGCTTCACCGGTCCCCTTGGCTGCGCCCAAGGTACAAGGTTCACCCCAACTGCCCTTGGATCCGCCGGGCAGAACTGACCCCGAGTACAGGGGTGACAGAAACCGGCCTATGGATGGCCCTGAACTGGCCCAAGGAGCAGAACGGCCCAAACTGGCCGTTGCACGCCCACCCAGTCGTCGCCCTTGGCAGAAACTCATCAACAGGATAGTTAACTATATTTCCGTCTGGTCATTATCCAGAAACGGGGTTCTTGCTGGCGGGGTGGCCACTGCTATGCTGGAAAACTGCTGTCCAGCATAACACAGACATCATGCGGCCGCATCTCGAGCTGCAGACAAGAACAGCATTGCCCACAAGCCCAGTGGTCAGGGCCCAGGCCCACACCCCATGTGAGACCAGGTCAGGCGCACACAATGACCGAAAGAGAATTCATGTACCCGTGATGCAACAAAATGACATGAATACAACAATTGTCTCGAGGGTCGATATTAAGCAAATATCAATAGAAAAGTGTTCTTGTCCATGAGGGGAGCCCATCAGACCCCTTGCTCTCCTGAGAAACGGAGTCGATGACAGGTGTGCGGAAGGGTGAGGGTCTTGCGGAAAGGGGCCAGTGCACTGCACAGGGCCCACGGCTTCAATGTTTCTAGTGTGCAAGTGCACGTTCACACCAATTCAATCCTTGAACTACTCTCCAATGTGTGATGTACATTTATCCCAGCAGAACGCTGTCAGCAACGTCCACCACGAAAGAACAACGCGGCAAGACGCTCCACTCGAGTTCCCAACTAATCTATCCAAAACACAAGCAACCGACAGGTTTCGTCTCGGTACCCAAAACTTAGATTCTGAATGGGGCTGGGGCAGCCAGCACGGGACACGACAATAAGTTCCTCCCTCAGGGCCACCCCACCCCTAAGCTGCCCTTTTCCACCAGTAGTCCCACAGACATCTTCGTGCTGGCGCCTTAAGGATCTGATCCCACTCTGCCAGAAAAAGGCGATCATCCCAGTATCAGATCACATTAGCTGCTGCGTACAGGAACTGGTTGAAGTCCAGTGTGATGCGGCCAGTCTTGTTGGGATCAAACGCAGCAAAGGTCGCTGCGGCGCTCTTCAGAAACAGACTGAGTGCGATGTACGCAGCCAGGTCCAATGAGGCAGTCCTGTTCGGGTCAAAGGCTTTAACCATGGTGTCAAACGCATGCCGTTCGATGTTGAATCCTGGTCAAGTCCAGCACAGCGCGGCCATTAGTTCAGGCACTGCCTCCTAAGATGGACACCGCTACGAAGGGAAAAGAACCTTGCGAATGGAGAAATGCCAAGAATCACATTCGAAGGTGCAAGGACGGTGCTTTGTCACATTGACATGTGCAGTCAACGACGACATTCGCAACATTGATGGTTCGAAGCACAGTGGTAGGTGCTCTTAAGATATGGAAACTTTGTCTGCCACTCATTTCCCTGCAGTGCCAAGGTCACATCTTCAAGAGATTGTGGACTAATTTGTGTCGACATTGCCTTGTGGGTGCAAGCGCAGAATCCCATCATGGGCGTCTATTCGTTCTGTGGTTCACCTGGAATACACAGCGGACGTTCTTGAGTTCAAAACACTGCACATGATTGACACATATGACAATCACAAGGGAACCACTTTGTGCAATTTCAGCCCTTTTCTTGCAATCTGCATTTCCACCCTGTCCAGTTGGGGTTTGCAAATGTTTATAAGGCAGTTGACCCTTATGGAAACAAAAGCCTCCGCAGTGTCGCCACTCTGCCCATTGGATGCCTGCAGCCCCTTTTCTGCGCCATGTCCAACAGATGGCACCAGAGCATCCAATAACTCTCCTGGTCTTTTTTGCGGGCAACTCCAGTCTCTTTGCATTTAGCACATCTCAAACCCCAAAATTGTACTGCTGAAACAAGTGGGATCGCTGTCTGTTGGGGGCAGTGTGGTAGGGGGTTGCAAACACCTCCAAAACGCGCTGTCAAGACCAAAGCTTGTCTTTGTGGTGAACTGGGATGCGAACGCTGACAGTAAAGGGACTGCATATACCATATGGAAAAACGGGCAGTGGACAGCCAAACAAGCGGCTGAAGCTCAAGCAGTGAATGAGAGGCCGCATGCACCAAAATCGGACTGTCACACATATATTCCTTTCAGCACCTATCCCGTTCAGGACCATCCCCCATGTGATGGACCTGCAAAATGAGGCTTTCCAACAGTATCGACACAAAACTGCATGTGGGCTCCATATTTTCAGCAGGACAAAGTGAACCATCACTTGCCCATTGTCAAAATGAGGGGCCCATGGATCTGCGATGTTGAGGGCACGAAAAACTTGAGTTGAGCCCTACTATGTCTAACCCCTCCTTCAAAATGCAAGGGCTTGGTTACAGTCTGCGATGATCACAAAACGGTTTCAACTGAATTCGCAACCAACAGCAGACAATCAGCAGCATGGCGCTAGTAATGCAGCAACTGCAATTCAGAATGCAAGCCCCAAAGATCAGCAGTCTCTAATCTCCCAACTTTGCCAACTCCATGTTAACCATCATCAGCTGAACACTTGATGAGTTTTACTAAGCCTGTGCCAACATCAAGCAGCTGCTTGGCACAGATGTTTCTTGTCTTCCTCTTTTTGAATACCACCCACCTGAGTGTTTCAGAGCACGAGCAACCTCATCAAACGTCAACTGTCCATTTCTGTCTACATCGAAGAAAATGAAGCTGCTCTGCATGTTGGATAGGAACTGATGTAACCTCTGAAACTCCGGGAAGGTTATTGTTCCTGAACCAGTCATGTCATGAGTTCTGCACACAGCAGAGCCAACACAAACACTGCTCACCAACATGCTTTTTGTGAAAGATCGCACAAGCACACGCTGGTAGGAGAATGAATTCTCTCTCGATTGGACTTACTTGTTGCTGCTCTGGAGGTTTCGCGGCCAACCACACTGCAGCAGTGTTGGCACAGCCCTTGATTGTCTTCAACACCTTGGAGGTGCCTGGGCTTGATCAATATTTTGGACAACTGTCGTGAAGAAACTTCCAGCAGTGCTATCATGAAATGCGGACAAAATGCACACAATAATGCCAACCAAGGTAGCAACCACTCAGCACTGAACACTGTATGCTTATTGTACCCTACACATTTGGCACACGCACAAATTTTGAGGTGGCCAATTCACCACCATTTGCACAATCAATTATCTGAGTGCCTGCATAGTGCCAGTGCTGACAGTGACTCATGTCAATCTGTATACACAGTGAACCTAGTCATTTTGCAATGTGCAGGATTGGCATTTTTCTAATGATATTCTTTCAACTGACTTTCAGTGTTTTACGCTTTGCCTACATCCAACCCTCAAACTGGTAAACAAGCTCAAACTCTTAACACAGTGGGTAGGCATTATCAGGGACTCCAGCCTGAGAACTTGTGATCCAGTGAATTGTTTCTTGCCGTGCTTTGCCTTTACAGTCAAGTAGGCTTTGCTAGTGCTCAACTACAGGAGGTCAGTGTCAAGAAGTCCATTAATCTTGTTGCAGAATTTGTGAGGAATATCTGTCGACAACAGTGCTTTAGTGAAGGTGCATCTGCAGTGGAGATCTCCCAGCACAGTGCACGATCAAAGCCAGGCTGCACTGCACTCAACATTTCAACACAAGGAAGGAATTGTTTGAGCTATGCTGCCACCTTTCGCATAGGCAGCCATGGTTTGTGGATAGAAAACTGCCCATTGCCGCCTTAAAGGAGCAGGGGACCGTGCATTGTTATTTGCCGACAGATGCAATCAAGGGAATGCCACCGGTAGCCATCACTTAGTTCCCGCAACAGAGCAAGCAATTCTGGTTGTTGAGGCGCCCTCTCAGAAACAATTGTTGGTCAAGTGTGGTGAAGGTAAATCTCAAAATCAGTTTCGCCTTGAGTGGGTTGGCGCGGGGCCGGTGTGGTTGGCAAGTGTGGTGTTGCTTGGGTAGCCGAGTATCCGCCTTCGACAAGAAAATTGTTGGTTTGTTGGTAATTCAATCGCGACCTTGTACATTACCAACCTTATCATATGAGCAACAGCAGCAAGGCTGAAGTGCAAGTTGCCCAGCGCCAGCGCCTGCTGCAGCTCCTCGCTCGTCAAGTGGCCGTTTCGATCGGTGTCGATCGCATCGAACCACTGCGAAAGCGGAGGGATGCCCATCAGCACAGACGAGGACGGCAATCAGCCGCGACTGCAGAAAGTCCGGCACGGCAGCCTGAGAAGGAATCGCGAACGACTTCCAGGGAACATCTCCCATGTGCACCCGGAGCCGCACCTGCCCCGAGGCACTCAGCTGACGCGGTGAAACGCGCCTCAGACAGCAGATTTCCGTGCTGGACGCCTCCCGACGTTAGCGCCGCGCGGCTGCGGCCCAGACTCACAGTTCGGAGTTCCGCCATCCGTTCTGCGGAGCGCCCCGCCTAGCGGGGCCGACGGCTCTCGCGCTGTCCGCCACGGGTCACGTCAGCTCGGATACCACGCGGCGCCTGCGTGGAGGAGAACCGCACGGCAGACCCACGGCGCCGCGGACCCCGATCGAGAAGAGGCGCCCGAACCGCGGCTTGGAGCACGGTGGACAGTTGCGCCGGGCAAGGCCTGCGGAAGGGGCAGCAGCAAGGGTGGGCTGGCTGCCAAGTAGTCGGACCGGCATGTCAGCGGCAGACTTTTCTCGTACACCCTCCCGCTACCTCGAGTCATTGGGACGCGGGGGACCAACGTTGCCAAAGGCCGCGTGGCGGGTGCCGTTTGAGGCCTCCCTCAACAGAGAGGCTTCTTAGCAAAGCGTGGTGCATGTCTGCCATTTTGCCGTTGGCCGCCAATCCACCACTGTCATTGGCTCCAACTGTTACTGGGACAGAAACGTAATTGACGTCAGTGAATGAAGTTAAACGGATTTTAGGCCGTTGGGAGGGAAGTTTACAGGAGGGTCCTGACTTGCTTGGGCTAGTGCCGCCCTAATAGGATAAAGGGCGGCAGTGAGTGAGTCACACCTTCTTTGGAAGGGGCCCCGCTCACGTGGCACGGCCAGTGACCTTTAAGGCACGGTGTAATATCAGGCTGGACACGTGGGGTGCCCACCGGTCTGTGAGTAACATGTGTTGAAAGGTTACCTCACAAGGGTTGTACCGGACTTAGAGGTGTGGTGAAAGGCTGGTCTATTCTTTCTTTCGCACCCACCCACCTCGGCCCTATGAGATTGTGGCTTGACATACTGTAAGAGAGACGTTTGGCAAACTGGAGATTATGTCACCCCGGTGACGTGGAAGCACCTGTGTGAGTCACTCTGGGGATGCTACCTTTTGGTGTGAGTAAGTGTGTGTGTGTGCTGGTGTCACGGTCTGAACCCAACACTGACTGGAAACGGGCTGGGCGAGGCCACCCGAGTTTAATGGTGGTGCAAGGAAGTTGATGGTCCTGGCGCTTGACTGGTATGCAGCCACTGGCAGGCGTTATTGTGCGCACTCAAACCGCAAATCTTTCATGACCTCTTTATTAATGACTTGATAAGTCAATCAGCGGAACCCATGTGCCAAGCTATTGTGAACATGTGCAGTCAAGTGCAGGACATCATGGCTTCTGGCACACACCTAGTTTCCAGTATTCGACAAAGAAACACGCGCACCCCTTCAAGTCGACGGAAAGGCAGTGTCATCCATGTCTGCGTTCGCTTCTGTTCGAGTTAATGCATGATCCTGGCAGTTGAGCAGGCCACTTGTTCATTTACGGCACCCGGATTGGTTTCACTCATACCATTGCCAACAACCCTGGTGTATGTACACAGTAGGCCATACCACGTGGTATAGGCCGGGCATGCCACAAAGACAGTTGTACAAGAAACGCAAGCATCAAGTGCACGCAGAGTTCACGTATATTACTTCATAAGGCACAGGACCGAATACAAATGATATTTAGTTATTATTTTTGTGACTGCATCAATTGTTCAAAGGAAATAGGCAACGAGAAAAAAGTACACAAATAATTGATGGTCTCCTAATTCGATAAGCCCATATTGGTGGAAGATGCCGCCAAAATTTCCAGGGTCTTTGTCCTTGTGCTATTTAGCTCTTGCAGGTATGTTGGGAGACCGTGGTATAATGCACATGAGGTTAGATTGATTTAGACACGATCGTCTTTGGGAAGCGGCATTCATCTTCATTGTGAGGAAGGCTTAGCAAAATGTACTGTGAGCACTGTGCATACGGTGCACGTGGGGACCAGCTATGGTGCGCCATTGGTCATTATAGAGACGGTACATTGTCAGCGAACAAACAGCAATGACTTGCGCTCAATTCGGCGCGGCACAGTTGAGCAAACCCTGCATTGCATAATCCATCCCTCAAGGCCTTGCGCCCGAAAGAGTCCGTAAGGAACAAGTGTTCGCTGACAACAAAGCAACAAGGCAGCCGTCAGCTCTTCATATTGCCCGAGAAAAGCATTGCTCATGATTTGTTCCGTGAAATCCAAGGTTCTGCAGCCACGAAATCCAGAATCCACCATTTCCTAATTTCTGAAATGAGTTTGTTGATGATATTATCATCAACATCTTCAACACGCTGAAAGAATTCTCTTCGCAAAAGGAGCGGGGACAGAAGCAAAAAATGTTTCAACATTTCTGTAGCAGAAAAAGCTCAATGAATTCGGCATACGCCATGGTAGGCACGGCAACGACCAAGAAAATTTATCTCGTCCTCGGGGAGCGAGAGTATTCCAGTGGCCCCAATGACGCCCATTTTCGCACGTTCTTGAGCATTCAAGTTGATCACCGGAGAGTGGAAATCACGTTGCCTGCCCACTGCTCAGTTGCCATGCGGGAGTCCATTCTCCAGCGTTGGTTGTGCCATTGCGGCACCCACGCCACCATGTGGAGGCTCTCTGGGATTAAGGGACACTTGGAGATTTGTCATGGGGATTGAGAGTACCCTTTGTTTTTTGGTTTGAGGGGAGAGAGCTACCAGTTTTGCACTCTCATATTGCAATCAGACCAGGATATCCAGTGCACTTGGCGCTGTGATTTCCGCGTTTACTTCGTGTTTTCGTGTGGTAGGGCGCCCAAGCTGGCAAGCGTCAAGCGAGCAATTGCAGGATGATGTTCCGCCCGTGGTTGAAAGGGATGACCTTTTGGTCATAGTGGACCCGAGTCGGATGTATTTGGCCTGGAAACCCAGAAACATTGGGCTGCCAGGGCATTGCATGGGAAGCGCGATGCTTCTTCTAAAGCTGCAGTTGGTGCTTGGAATTCCTTGCTCCGGTCGCTTCATGGCCTACCTCCTGCAGATGGACGGCGGCTTTAAAGCAGCTACATCTGGGAATGTTTATATTTGGGGAGTTGACCATTGATCAAGCATCCCAACAGGGTCCTTGTGAGGAAGGGGAGGGAAACATCGCAGGACAATACACAAACATAAATTATCGTGGTGACAACAATGTCGCGATGATGAGTTCCGCCCTGGAGCATAGCATGGGCCGAGTACGTTTCAGTGAACCCTCGACAGCAATCCATTCACCTAGAAACGTTCGGTGTCGGAGAGGAAGTAGCTGCGGCCACCAGCGCATAGAAGGCTGCCAACGATCAAAAAGCACTAGTCTGCTTCCCAACAACACTGCAAGATTAGGGACTGCAATCTACTCGAGCAACCCCGCCCTGTTTGACAACCCAATCAACGCTATCGAAGACTTCCGTCACGAATGACCCTGACTGCCCGACGATAAGGACGCAATCGTGTGGCAGCCTCTCCAGGACATGTGCCACTCTCGAGCAGCCTTCTCTATCCAGCTGGCCAAGAACCTGCACAATAGAAACAGTCGGCGCTTGGCGCTCTACCACTGTCCGCTCGCGTCCAGCCCTATCCAGTCACCACAGAGGATGGAGACGCACAGCACAACGATGCTACACTACATTCACCGAATGCAGATTGTCCACGGTATAGCACCGTGGACGCAATTTCAGATTACTCTGCTCTTAAGAATTGACGCGAAGGTACCATTGGTCATGAACAAATAACCAGCAATACTATAGTGCATCGATGGAGGACTTTAATTCTCAGCTCTTCGAGCTGCCTGGGGCTCGTATCAGTATATGGGACATACATTCTCGATACTAACACTCCCCTTCATTGCCTAAGAACTGCCTGGGTATTATTTGCCCAAGCTTGGCAATGCCGTAAAGCTGCACCTTCAGCTGCTTTGAAGCAACACCATAGTACACGACAGTATGTAGATATAAACACACCTTCTTTGCCCTGTACTACACAGTGTAGCAAAAGTGAATTTTCCGACAGAAAGATGCGACATGGACGAGGGGTCCCATGCACTCCCCACAGGGGTAATCCCCTCTGCGCCCTTACCTCGTCCAGCACGATCAAATTGCACCTCAACCGTCCCCTTTGCGCCACGAGCTCCGAGAAACCAAGAGCCAGGGCCAGCCCCAGCCTCCTCATCTCGCCTCCGCTTAGTTGCCGAAGAGACCGCGGCCGAATGGCTCCGCTGGATGTCCGTACGCAAATCTCCTACATTCGTCAGCGTGCGGAATATATACTACAATCAGGTCTTCGCACACAAGTGCACTGACTTGTATCGGACATGGCAATGCGAAATGGTGAGCACGGAGGCAAGCAAGTGCCGAACAAACAAGCTTGTATGAGAGCCGACAGGCAGCAGCAATATTGCACATTTTGCTTCACAAGGAGGCCTTCTCCCCTTACCTTGCTGATCTTCTCCACCACATCTGTGGAGCTCTTCCCTGCCTTCCCTGCCGTCTGTGCCTTGAGCTCAAGGGACATGCCCGGTGCAAGGTCCTGCAGGAACGCTGACGCCCGTTGTTGCAAGTCGCTCAGAGCACCCTCCAGCACGAAGCTCGGGACGCCACCCCGATTAAAGGCATTGTCCAGCTCGGTGAGGACGTCGACGTCGCGGCTGCGCTCTGCCACCATCTCCTGAGACTTGGCGGTGTCGCGTTCCTGGTTCTCTACCATTTCCTGCAGCCTGCACCCAAACGTCAAACCTGTCGTCGGATGTCCAGAACGTGAACTCTGCCTTAAGCTTCAAACGGACGCGCTTGCCTTTACCATTCCTGAATATTGCTACATTTCCGTGCTTCCAAATTCCGGTCTCCAAATCTTGCCACAATTAGTTACCAAATTGATTTCCATGCATCAATTCTCAATCTATATTACAATTGAACTTGCTTGATATTACTGCAGTCATGGTCTGAACAACAGGCAGAATGACAACGAGTTTCTACGAGTCCCACTCAGGTCCGATATATGATCATTTGCTGCTTGTAGAAAGTATTCGACAGTGACAACGACTACCACACTACAGTATAGGATCACCAAACTCAATTTCGGCCAATCACCTGTCCTGCTCGGAGCTGTACGGATTCTGTTCTGCCCGTACAAGCTCCAGATCCTGCACGGCATTGCGAAGCTCATCCCCTGCATCCTCAGCCCTCCGAATGATCTTTGGCACCGTTGCGATTACAGCCCTTGCAGCCTCCATTGTGTTGGGTGGCTTCCCTTCGTGTATCAACAACATCAACAGCGTCACAACCGCGTTTCAAATGCCGTTGTTGGCCCCACTAAACCCCAGATTGGGAGGCTGCACTGAGGGTGCTTGTTTCCCTGGAACCTCCAGAATGGGTATACATGCATTAAAAAGGGGGCAATGCGGTTCGGCAGCACGTTGGACTCTCATCATACCACCATGGGTTTATGTACCATGCAACGAGATAATTGAGAAAGGAATACCCTTAATCGCCGGGTGTGGAAAGAGATCGAGAAGGGCCAATCCCCCAAATGGTGAACCCCAAAAGCCTGCTGGAATGCGCGTGTGGGTCGGCGGCAATGCCGGGCACTTGCCAACATCGTCTGCCAAACCAGACAGCGAGCATTCACTTGCACCATCAAATGTCGCATATCGATTGCTGCATCGACATGTGCAAGGGCACCCTTTTCGTAAACGAACCAGCCCAGCAAACCACCCGCCAAAACTCAGGGCTCAGGCGTGCGATTACAGTACGAAAGGCCCTTGCAGGTACATGCATGTCTGTCCGCTGTCAACTGCAAGACACAAGCAGCGGCACATTATTGAGAATGCCACACTCAGCTTTCAGTGGCCTGCGGAGCACAACGCTGCCCCTGCTAGCAAACGAAACTTGAGCTCGTGCACAAACTGAGACTTGGGTGCATGGGAAGTGACACTGCACAGATCAGTGCTGAATTCCGTGCAATCTGATCACCAATAGCAACAAGAAGAGCAACAGGAATTGCTCTCCCTCAGCTTCAGTCACGGCCAAATACAGCAAGCGAAGGCGCGATAATTGGGTGAATTCGGGAGGTGCCAGAATTCGGCGTGATGGTACCTGAGGCTATGGTAGTGGTGGCAGCACCAGAGCCACGCCCGCGCCCATGCAGCCTGCGCTCAAGCCGGGATATGACGGCACCCAGATGCTCGACGCAGCTTTCCCCTCCAGCCATCAGTGACGCTTGAGCGCTGCAGATGGAAATATGTTGCAATTCAAGATTGAAACATTTAACTTACACAGGACATAGCAGACGGCGTGGAATTATTCACAAACGGCTACAACGACAACGTGCAAATGTCCTCACCAGTATTTGGCAACCTCCAAACAATAGCAACATAGAACGGTTCTTGCTAGCAATTTTTTGTTAGATTCGGGGCAATTTGAAAACACGTATCACTACAACAATATGAAGTGTGGCTGACATGGTGAGGTTTTTGTTGCGTTGGCGGTTCCAAAACCGTAGTCCACGGGGCATACAGTATTGCCCCCTGCCAGTTCAAGGTCACAATGGCTGTATCCCGCTCACCTGACACGTTCCATCTCTCTCACACGATCTGCTTCGAGTCTAGCCTGCAACTCGCGCTGTCGAGAAGCTTCCTCCCTCTGTCTAGCGATTTTCACCCCCTCCTCATGTCGTTGCCTCTCCAACTGCTCCTCTCGCAGCCTCACCTCCTCCAGCAGCTCGCTCTCCTTCGATTGCAGGGCATTTGAGATGGTGCGGCACTTGGTAACAGCATGCTGCACTGCCTTTTCCTGCGCTCTCACATCTTCCTGGCACCATTGATGCCTTGTTAAGACACATACTCTTTGAGCCACCTCAATTCGCATCAATCCAAGGGGGTGTAAACGTCGCACTAGTACTTGGAATGGAAAAGAACGAGGCAATGTAGAGAATGGTGAGCTACTCCAATTCGAGTCAGGCACTCAAAGACATATTTAACGCAACAAAATTACACAAACAACTTTCACAAGAATATGCCAGCTTCACACACAATGACAAGTGACTTGGCAAAACCCTACACGGTGGCACTTCACGCAATTAGAAGGGCTTTCATAGAAACATGACAGAAGAATACCGCAACCAATTTATTTTCCAGCGATGGAAAATCACGACACCATGGCCGTCCAACGTCACACTCATAGTCTCGTCAGAATATGGCCAACGGTCCAAAGCCAAGGGGCACAATTCCAGCAACCTTGCCAGAGTTTGTGTATTGCACATGTATGATATGTTGGGCGCAAAATACACAAAGTGCAGTGTGTTACTACGTCCGGGCCAGAAGTCCTTGGCACCCCAAACCAAAAGTTTGACATCCAAGTAGCGCAGTTCAAGGCTTCTTGGCATTACTAATTCCTTTGTTCAGGATTGCAAGCTCAGCAACCTGTGATTTCTCCGTCCCACAAATCGTCCCGTGAGATTCACAAATACTGAGAACACACACGAAAAAGGCGAACAAGGGTGTGAAGGCCATTTCTATGTCGAAAGAGTACTGTTCTGCGGTTTTGTGTTAACTTCGGGTGGTGCAGAAGCTCATCTTCTGCACTGAATGTCGACTTTCTCCCCACCTATTTGGAATTTTCAACCCCAAAATTGCAGAATCTTGCCAAACCCATGGAATGAAAAGTACAGAGAAAGCAGTTGATTTCGCAGAAGTATAATCCCACCTTACCAGTATATACAGTTCTTACAAAGAAACCTGCATGGGCTGCAATGAAGCATGGACTTGAACTCAGACACCACTATATGCCATTTGTATCTTGTGAGTCGAGCACGTCATAACTTACTTCAATTCTGCACAGGTTGTCCTCGTACACTTCCAACTTCACAGGCTGCAGGCACTGATCACAGACCAGAGCGTCATTTGCACCACCAGTGTTTCTCAGGGATTGGTATGAGAGCAGCCTCTTCTTGCTCGCCTGTAGGTGAACAAGACTTCAGCACAGAACTGTTGATCTGCCCAGCACAGATGACGAAATCCGAATGGCTGTCTGTTCTGTGCTATTGCAAGCAAATTGAGCATGTTCAGATGGGTCCGCTGAGGCACCTGAAGTCTTCAACATGGTAACTTTGGAATACAGCAAACCCTCATGGCATTTGGAACATGTTTGCCAGGTTCAGAGTAGAAAGCAGCGAACACGACAAGATGAGATGTTGGCAAGATCCCAGGGCAGCAGTGGTAGCACACAGTAATGCTGCTCTTTGTGAACTGTGCCTTGTCCAGCTGGATGATTCTTTCTTGGGTTTGCCTTCAAAAGACAACACAGAGCACTTGCACTGGCAGGGATAATGGGTTTCTATGTAGCAAGAAACGACTTTCTGTTCCCCATCTGTTCATTTTATCTGTTCGCCAACCATCTGCAATGCGTACAAACGATGGTCACAGAAGACATGAAAGAATTGAAATCCAGGTCATGCCTATGTCAGGCTCAAGACAACTAAATTCCACCAAGCGAAAAAGTGATGTACACCCTGGCATCGTTAAGCCCAGAATCCAGTCATTCAGCTGCTTCCTCGGCAATCTTTCTTTGTTGGAAGCATGTTACCTGCACCACTCCACACAGCTCTGCTTCCTTCAGCTTCGCCAGTTGCAACTTCTCCCTCAAGTCCTCAACCTCACGCTGCAGTCTTTGGTGCATGGCTGAAGGCATCCCTGGAATATCCCCAGATTCTGCAGAACAGTCAAACTGGTATGCCATTGGCAGCTATGCAATGCACAATTTGAACACAACACAGAGGCAATAAAAAGGATCCAAATAGACCGTTCCCCATAAAACCATGCCTGGCATCCTTGCCCTTCCCGATTTAGGTAATTTGGACCAGACCTGAATTCAGGTCTGGGAGTCTGTGTCACAGTTGGACATGAAGTTTTTGACTATGCACACAGTCATGATGCTGTTCCTGCACAGATTTGGGTATAAGCCCTATCGAATTGGGCATTTGTTAGTCCATTGTGCTGTGGCCTGACATTGACAGAATTATACTCACAGCATGCCATTCTTTCAAGAACATTCTTTCAATGACATGGCAATGTACTTGGCAGTATGAATGTTTGGCAGACCGCTTGGCAGTCACAAGGCCCAGGCATTTCATCAAGCAGCCAGGCCACTCACCACTATGCTGAGATTCCCTCATGCCCATTGTCCACTGTTCATTGCATGCTTCACTTTCAACCAAAGATGTGGCCTGGCTCATCACACTCATGCTGCTCTGGTTGTCCTCTTGCTCATTTTGTAGATCGATGCTTGATTGCCTCACCCCTGCTTCAGATCCCATGGTGCTGACTGGGACTGCTGACTTCGCCACTTCCTTACGAACAGTGTCCAGCCATCTTTCAAGGTGCTCTCTCAACGATTCACATTCTTCAACCATCGAGATGAGCGACCTGGTAGACATACCAGGGATGTGAATGATAGCTGAGCATGTCAGGATTGCAGGCACAAACATATGAATCTGGGCATCAATTCAAATTTGCATTGGTTGTATTCATTCCTTAAGAACGATATGTGTTACACATATGTTCTTTTGAACACCTTAAACCCAACAAACCACAGTACAATCAAACATCAACTCCATGCACCTCGCACATTCTTCCACTTGGGCTTCAGTTGCCTTTTCTCTTTCAGTTTTCTCCCTTTGCCATGCTTGCGCGCTTGTTTTCACCGTGTCAACCTGCTGACTGTATCTTTCCAGCGTGGCTGTGTGGATGCTCAGAACGCGTATCTCTTGCTCAAGCTCCTGTTTGCAATCCTTCAGTAAGGAGAATGACTGCCCACGGGCAGAATCCCATACATCCAGCTCCACGATCTTTCCCAGCTCCGATTTGAACAGGCGATCGTTAGCCTGAAAAAGTGCAATTTACGTCTCAGGCGCTCTGTTGCAATCAGGCTTGAATTTGCACTTCAAAATCCTAGATATTATTAAGGGAACTGTCATTCAACTTAACCACGATAGTCAGCTCTGATGTCCACCTTATATTTCAACTGCTGTTGTCAATGGTTTCAAATGCACCACATGCTGTTGAAGCTAACATTTAAATGCACTTTCAAATGAGCTAAATGACTTGTATGCGCAGGTGTCAACACTGTTTTATTTTTTAACCAACAAATCTCTACTGAAAGGCACAAGCCAGTGTGGCCGTTCACTTGGATATCTATTCCTCAATGCTGGCAGTGTTCTCATCACACATGCAGTTCAACAACAAAGCTGGAAACAGGCTATAAACAAAAATAAGGCAAACGTCTAATAGAGCACTTCAAAGGCACTCGTTGCACACAGTGATAGAATCAATAAGAAGCAATTGTCACAGCATTGGATCACAACATCATGGAGTTAATGCTTCTGGTGCAGTGCTAAAATTTGCAACACTTTCAACTTGAGCTCCTGGGCTCAAGTCATGGCACTTGCAGCTGTGCAGCAAGCCATCATCAAAGTTCGGCAGGCATCAACATAACTGCATTCATCAAGCTCACCTCCAGAAGAGCGGTGACGCTGCCATGGCCTAGGAATGCTGCATTGCACAGAGCTTCTGCTCCCAAGAATTCATCGATCTCTTGCTGGGTCAGTCGGGCGTCTGCCTTGGTGATGTCCTGCCCATCCACCTGGAAGACAAGACTGGTGCGGCCACGGCGCCGAACGGAGCGCTCAATGATGAACTCCTGGTTGTTCACCTGGCCTTGCAGCCTTGCTCGTGCTGTTGTGCAGTCATCATTCACGATGTCCGAGTTTGTTATGCCTCTGGAAGCTGCCTACAATAATTTGAACGCGTACATCCATTTTTAACTCATGCCTTATCATACCAAAGCACTAGCCATGCACCTAGAAGACGATGACAAGGACAAATCCACCTACACTGTGGTCTCGATGTGCTTGCTCATTTCCCTTAGTCAGAATTACAAACAACAAAACAACAGATTCGTGCATACGGATATTGTTACAAATTCCCTTGTCCAGCTGCCATCGAATGGACTGGACTTCTGAAAGGCAGCCCGCACCAACAGGAAGATGCAGCACAGAACCATGGGCCCTAAGTCGCAGGTGTTTCAACCGTGCACGAACAAGAGATCAGAGAAGACAGGCATCCTTGGGTGTACACTTTGCCTGTGGGATAGAGAGATGAAATCCAGCAAATCCCAAATGGAGCAACAATATTCCCTATTTAGTGCATTCTATTGTGGAGGTGTAATGTTTCTGGCAGTCCAGTGTCACCAGTGACCTTCAGGACGAATCCATCAGGCCATGTGTATCCCATGTTGTCAGGAATTACCCCAGCTTCTGTGTCATGCTGAAAACCAATCACTATCATAGCTATTATACTGGTAATTTGGGTTTGTATTGTTGATGCAACCATGGTAACCATGAAATGTTGCCATTGTTTCAGTTGTGCTTGAGCATACCATGGATACCAACAAGTGCCTCAATGAAAATTGCAAAACAGCACCATGAACAGGACTGTCCCGAACAACAGCACATTGTTGCTGGAGGCTACTGCCTCTGATATAAAGTTTAAAGGCAAATTAGAAATGCAACAGCAATTTACCTTCAAAGCCACTCCTTGCACTCTGGCGCAAAACACTCTTTTAAACATCACTACTGTTGCTTCAGATCACCAACTGAAAGAGTTGGGAAGACAAATAACATGAACAGCTTTGTAGAGACTTCCAAGATTGTGTTCAAGCAGCCATTGTTTGAAACAAAGTGTACACACCTCGGCACGTGCGTCCAAGCGTCCTGTCACAGCCCACAAGGGGGCTGTGACCAGCATACTCTTCCCTGCCCCATTTGATTCTGAGCTGACGTCGTCCAAGTTCTGACCACTTATCACACGGATACCCTGTTTGTGGAGTGGGTATCTGCATGCATTCTTGAAAGGGCCGAAGCCTTCAACCTCGATGTGCTCAAAGCGCACGGCGGTTGGCAACAGGCCCAACTGCGTGCCATCGCTTTCCAGCGCCTGACAATACAGAGCAGCTGCTGAATTCAAAATACAAGTGATGTTCCTTCCGTTTGCACAACAACACAATGGTGTGGTCGCATGTCATACATGGACTTGCTGCCTTTCCGAGCAAAGTAAAAATTTGTACACACCGTTCATGTGTTTCCAGCCCCTCCGCATTATTTGTCCCAAGGGGAAATCAGTTGTGCACACTTCGATGTTGCACTCCTCAACCAAATACAGAACCAGCCAAATTCTGCAGCTGGCAGTTTCCAATGGAGACAACCAACAGGGTTTAAGATCGCGTTTGGCAAAAGTTACACAGCTAGCTGATGCCACAAGTAATTACCTATTCCAGGACCTCCAAAAATCTTGTATCTGTAGCGTGGACAGGAGCACGCAAATCCCACCTCTGGGAGGTGTGCCTGCTGCATGACCAGACTATATCCCACTTTCAAAACACCTCATTGACAGGTGTGGGAAAGAAAGCCAATAGTCGAGCCTTGACCTCGCGAGTCCACAGTCTCACAGCAAATGGACAATCTACAACCCAGAGTCTCATGGTTGCGGGCTATCAACTGCCTACAGGAGAAGTTTTTCTGTCATCTGTTGCCGCCACTGTCTGTCATTGATGGCCCACCTTCAGAATGTTGATACCCTTCTGTTTGGCAGCATCTGCCATTCCCTTTGCCTCTGCATATTTCTCAAACAACTGGATAGCTCCCAGCTGTTCCGCCTCCTCAATCCTTGGCACAGCAGAACTGTTTGGCTGGAGGACAACCTCAAGGTTAACCCCTTGCTCCAGTGCACAACATTTTCAGAGTTAGTTGCTAGGTAGCAACAGCAGAACACATAACCTCCATGAACTGGTAGTCCATGTTAATTCCGTGGCTAATTATGCAGACATGACAACCAGCATGCAACAACAAGGCAAGTCCACTTCAATGAAGCACCCATGGTGTGTTGAATGAAGCATTGCAATACTTTGCCATGTCTGCTTTGAGCAACCTGGCTTAAGCACTGTTGTGTTCCATGGAAGCTGCTTAATCGAAGCTGGATGGACCACAATAGTGCTGCATAGCCCAGCTTGCCCATCTGGATTCCCATCAATACAGGGTTGTGTTGAACAGAGGCCTCAACTGCTGAGAGCATGACATACCTTTGTTTCGAAGGCTCTGCTGGATCCTCTCCACCTCGGGTCCTGGCGCACTGGAGGGAATGGTCCATCTTACCCTGTCACCGCGCCTCATGTTTGCAGGGATATCTGGGCTAGTGCTGGCCAGCTGGTAGTGCCTGGGCCCAAGGTCCAGATCCATTGTAGATTCCACTCGCCACTCTTTGTCCAAGATCAGCAGCTGCTTCTTCTCACCCCCTTCAGACATGGACACTGCAAAGGGGATAGAAGAAACAACAAAAATGAATGCAGTGAGTTTGGCACTGATAGCACATCCATTGGATGATGTGACGCTCCTTGTGCAGGACATGTGAACCCGCAAATCGTAATCAGCAGACACCGAGCATCCATACGGGCATTGGTTATCATGTTCACGCACCAATTTTGAGCCAACCTAGTCTCATGGACACAACACCTATCTCCCACCACAGACAATGGCTATGACCTTCACCACCAGGGAAGCACCCTGCAGAAACAGGGCAACAAATATGTAGTGGCTATTTTTGCCTCACACTTCAGCTGGGCCCAACCTTGGTATGGAGATCCAACATAGCGAATGTTGGTTCCCTTGACTGTGTGCGGTCGGTGGTAATGGCCGCTGTACACATGGACATCTGGTGGGAAGCTGTCTGGGTGAATCCCGTCTGTCATTTGGAGGTTCGCATTCACCCATCCTCCCACCTGCCGTACCACAGCAGGACTGCTAAGCACAAAGTTCTGCCGCACTACTGCATTGACATTTGGGAGATCAAACACACTGGCATGGAAGACACTCCTCTTGTAATAGTGCAACTGCTGAAAAGGGCAAAATCATCAGCCAGGCCGTGCTGGACCATGCCAAAATGATCTTTTCCTGCACATTGGGATTCTGCGCCTTCACTGCACTTTAGGTTTGAACTGTGTTTTCTTTTCAAGAGGGCAGTTTTGACCCACCTAAGGGATGAGATACTGGACAAAATGGGAGCTCCACCAGCATGATATATTCTAGTATTCAGTGAGGAACTCCGATAAAATCTGCTCGTCAACAATAAGAGCAACCGTGCACTGAGATGAAACAACACCCAATATTGACAACGCACAACTGAACGTCACATGCACAATCAATTGGGCAACAATGCCCTCCTTTCTGTGCCCTTCTGAACATGCATCCAAAATCTCAACATTGTCAAACCAATCCAAGCTAAATGTGTGGGGGGTGAGATGAATATGTGACAAAGTATCTGAAATACTAGTACATAAATTCAGGAAAATAAGGTTCAGAACCCCAACCTCCAGGTACCACATCGGCATGCACGAAGATGGCCTTCACATCGGGTGCACTCTTGAGGGCGACTTCCACCATTGTATGGTCTTGCCTGTATGGCAGCCACAAAGCATCCATGAAGAGTGATGGCTCATCCAGTACCCTCATGTTGGGGCACGCAGCAGCCAGAGGGGTGAGAGAGTGGGACAGGCCCAAGGGATCAACCTGCAACCACATTGCATCACAACATGACACGAGGTGAGGTATCCGTTTTATTTGCAATTGAAATGTTGCTGGATGACGATCCACAGCAGAACTGGTGCCGTGTCATTGCCCAGTGCGGTCTCCACATGTCAACCACATCTGTGTGTGCGTGTGCTCATCCTGGGCAGGGTCGAATGTGAATCTCATGAAAGTGGTATGGCTCTTCCTGCTATTATCTCTGCAGAGTGCTATTGCCTGCTACAGTCCAAGACTTCTGTGCCACACCACGTAGGGAAAAATCCCACTGGAGTCTTGCCAAAAGGGAGAATTCCCTGCCATTGTGCCTTGAGACATGTTGTCGGACTTGATAATTTTTGTGAAAGAAGCATGCAGAATGCTTGGGGTTGGCCGCAGGACAATGTCCAGCTGCACAATCCAATTTGTTCAAATTTGTGACTGTTCAAGAGCTATGACTGCAGTGATACCAAGCAGGCTATGTACTCATGCACACACGTGTGGCTGGTGCTGCAAACTTGGACACACTGCGATGGAAATTTGGGCAGAGGCAGAACACAGAGATGGGCACAAACCAGTTGTACACTCTTCTCTTCCACTATTGCCAATTGAGCAGGGATAATGCCCAAAACTATGAGCCCTTCACAACAATGGGGAGAGCCTGATATGTGTGTGACCCATTGACACACCAGCATCACATGTAGTTGTTGGGATGAAAGCCAATGTGTTTTCTCAACTGCACTATGCAAAATGTAGCTGTGCCAACAAACCTGATCGTGATTCCCAGGCATCAATATTGTGGGGGCTCTCCAGGACTGTAGCTCTTCCAATATCAAATTGAGGGGTTCGACTGGAAGGACCCCCCTGTGGTGCCAAAAATCCCCTGCCACACACTCAGGCAAAACCACTTTGGCACAACGACACAGTGTTGACTCTCATGGGCCCCAGCACAACTCGTTTCCTGGATTTGTCTTCAGCAACAGTGGTGCTATGTCGATAGGTGCGGTTCACACCAGACACGAAAGAGCAGATTTCCGCATTGAAGCTGGGTGGACCATCTACACACAGTAAATTGCCATGGCTGCAGTCACCAGAACAACTGTTGCATTGTCTCCAGATCAACGATTTCACATTTCTGTGGTGTTTGATGGCCACAAGTTCTGGTGCAACTGGACTTGGTAAACTCGCCCACTTTGAAACCATGGGAGCCATGCGCACAGTGAGAGGGGCGCTGAACGAACCATGTACAACATGTGGACAGCTAATCAACCCTTGACAAAGTGACCGAATATCGACACTCACAACAAACAGTGGATGGAATTGTTCCCTTGAATGGTGAGTAGGACAGCAATGGGGTCATGTGCTGTGGAGGTCTTGATTGCAAATTCTGTTACATGCATATGTCTTCACAGGCAAACAGTGCCCTTGCAATATCGAGATAACGGAACTATGGACATCCGTAAGTGATTAGACCTGACTGTGCCAAGATGGTTTCAAACCAGTCCTGCTGCCTTTTATCCTATTAAACATGCGTGATTTGAGGTTGCCGAGAATTTTTGAGCAATGGTTTGTAGCAATACCAGAATTAAGTCTCGATCATTGGCCTCGTGCTTCGTTCTCTCCAATCCCATCATGACAGCCAGTGGCCCGCGCTCACTGTCCCAAGTTACATATGTACCCATTGCCATATGTTCTTGTTGTTCATGTAGCCTCAACAGCCGCCCGTTCACCGCCATGTGCGGCCACACGCGCGATTGATTTTTGGCAATCTCCGCCAGTGTTTCGCACCCAGGAAAACGATCCCCGCACTTCGCTCCTCCGCCTCCTCTCTCACCCTCCGCAGGACCGCCATGCAAGTGTCCAGCGTCTTCGACGAAACATGCAAGTCGGAGAATACAACCCATCTGGACACAAGCCGGCATGACTTCTCAAAAGCCGCGCCCATGCCGCCATGTACCTGGCTAATCCCTCCTAGCCCCTCAGGTGATGATCCCTGATCCAACTCCACAGCCCCCGCGGCCCGGACGCCGGTGTACCGGGCAAGAGTTCCGTGTGCTCTCCCCCAGGGGACGTTGAACTGCGACAGGTGGGCGACACATGTGGGGCGGGGGATGACGATGCGCGCCCAGGGGTAGAGCGGGCGAAGGGACATTCTGAACTATGGGACCCACAATAGCGGCGGGTCAGATGGGAGGGGTTGGCAGGGAAGGGAACGCCGGTCGGCGCTGAGACCGGCGTCCAGCCTCGGCATGTGGTCCGCTTATGGTGTTCGACGCGGCGGCTTCGTTGAGCAAGAAGTCACCATCACCGTGTTTTGGGGTCCGAGCATTATCCTCGCGGACGGAATAAAATTGGAATATCAGAGTAACAGACGCGAGAGTGAACCCTGATCGCGTATGATGTCACTTTGTCCGCGTATGCTCCTGTTTGAGAGCAGAAGTTCTGGGCGGGAGTTCCTTTTGTAAGTGGATCCATCCAAGCTCAGGTTTCTTTTGAGGTACTGCGTGAATTGATGAAGTTATGGCCCTCTGAAGTTGTAGTACTCAGGGCAGTACAGGGAGGAGGGCTAGTACTTAAGTCTAGAAGGAAACGTGTCAGTCGTGGGCGAACAAGGGACAGTTACATGGTGCCTGGATATGCACATGTATTGTCTTGTCTTGATGTGATGGTGATGGACCCGTGATCAGGCATTGCGCATGCGATAAGTGCGCGCATGCAGTGAATCTGTGTAACCTTTTTGGCCCACTCTCTGGCCTCCCGCGAGCGAGCGAACCACCGCCTCGCTGCGCCGCCACCTCTTGCCAACAGCAGGCCCCGGGGATCGATCCCCGTCGAGCATTGGGCCCACCGCGCGACCTTACAATAGGCCGCCCCAATTAAGCCCATCGGCCGAGGTGGAGAGGCCGGCCAACCTTCAACAGCTGTGCTGCAGTGCAGGGCGAACCCAGCGCCTCTGGAAACCAGTGGCTGCCGACGGGGCCGCAACACCAAGAATTGGCAAAATAGGTAATCACCTATTTAGCTCAAGTACAAGTGGCCCATGGGCTAAAATTCCTATTCGTAGACAACAATGGGCAATAACAAAACACCATATTGTTGAAGCATCCGCCATGTTGTTGAATCATGTTGCAATGGCACGCTTCACTCCCCTAGCACAACAACCCGTCGCCCTTGCAGCTGCTCCTACTGCGTCCATGCCACCATACACACCACTTGCCACCTCATCGGCAAAGTCGTTTAATTCCATCAGGTACTTGGGGGATGTGCATCTGATATTCTAGAATTTTTGGAACACTACTATTTGCACAAGGCATGGTCGGCGAGGTGCCCCAGGTGGGGGCGAGATTGCAATTTTCAGTCACAATGTGCAGCATGGCTATCACAGTTCAAGGTAAAATAACTAAATATGGATTAATAGCTTCTCACATGTAAACGATGCATATACACAAATGCATTTATAACCGGTTGGTGCCATTAACCTGGATAATAGATGCTTA